TTAGACAATGGAAACACAAAGTACAACAGCTGCAGTACTCGTATTAATTCTGTGCGGCGTAGTTCGCTCGGCACCGGCTAAGTTTTAATTTATTCAGCTAACTGCCGCCAGGCACGAGATCTACTGATTGCCACGTCGGATCACACCTACGTGCCGGTTCTTGATAAGGAAAGCGTTATGAATGTTTATTGTTACAATTAAAGAGTAGCTACCTATTTTCTGTGTGCTTTAGTTCACATATATCTGCGAAGTGTCGGTTGTTCAGGGGTTACTTAATTAAGCACTTATAATCTGCAGATCCGGAGTTCGAACCCTGCCTTGTACCATGTTTTTCGATTAACATGTTCATTTATCCGATTTACTTACGGTAAAGAAAAATATCGTGATGTAACCAGCAAATTCAAAAGATATGTGCGAAATTCAGAGGGCCAGCGTGGTTGACTAAGGCTTAGTGCTCCTAATTCAGGGTAGGCTTGAGTTACCACGTAAGCCCGTTTCTTATACAAAAGTAACTTTCATGAAAAGAAATAATTACCCAGTCCTATACGCAAAAACAAATGCTCGTTTACATAACTCGAAGTTAGATAGGCCTGAGTGATGACGACATTTTGAAGTTAATCAGTCTATTTATATTCTATTGATTAACTTTAACTGTTATAGTTGATTAAAAACTACATACACATGGTAGAAATGCTTTAATATTCTTTATTTTAACATATTGTATAACTACAAAAATATATTTAAATGTTGTTAAATTAAACGCGCGTGTTAACCCTTTGACCGCCACTGATTAATATTATGGACGTTAATGTAAATATATCAATAAAACTGTCCTTTTTTTGTCAAGATTTCATCTCGGAAGTCTACGCATGATCATATCATGTACAATGCTAATGATTTTTGGTAAAACCTAATATCATCGTGCGATGAAAAGCCTTCCTAATTTTAAGGGTGGCTATAGGCACGACAAAACGATTAATATTTATTTAAGCGAAAATGTAATTGAAACACTGGCTTATTTTTTATTAGGTTAGTTTGGGAAAGTATTACTATGCATATATCTTAATATGTATATGTTTTATTGATAGTTTTTCGTGTTACATCCGCATGTGACACGGCTTAAAACTTGAGAGAATTATCTAAAGCCTTGATGAAGTACGACGGTATGTCACAGTTTACAGGATTACAGATGAGAAACATGAGACACTTATATCTTAAATACTTCTCTATAAAAGAAAGAATGGACGGATATAAAATCTGTTTAATTATTAATTAAGAAACGGGGCAAAAGCTTAATCACGTTAAAGAATTCCGCATACTTGTTGATATAGCTTAAGTATGTAAGTTGGGTGGCCTTAATAGGTTTTTAATTTGAGCTCGCGCGGAGGGTTATGCGATGGTACGAAACTTGCCTGATAGTAGCTGCCCTGATAAGATTCCTGACACGACTCCTCACTGCAGGAACAATGGCCCCCGTTACAAAGATCTATTTGATAAAGCTATTGTTACTTAAGTTTATTTTGGAAGATCTATTGTTTTATCAGAAGTCTGTGGCTGGCTGCTACGTCAGGGATATCTATTTGAGTTTTTTTATTTGCAGAACAAGGGTTTCTAAGATGTTATAATCCCCAATAATTTATGCAACACATTATACGTAATATTGTTATTGACAATATACACTTTCCTAAGACACTAAAAGTTATATCGTGGGTTTCTGATAACTTTTATAAAACTGTATTCATACATAGTAACGATTTTAGGCCTACTATCGCCTTGGGCGAGATTACTACGGCGCCCTCTTTTTTTCCTATTTGGTGTGGGAAGGGTTATCAGGGTTACGTAAGACTAATTCGCAGATTTTGGCGTCCCTTTCGGTCCAGCGCCCTGGGCGGTCGCCCAACCGCGCTCTTCCCTAACGCCGGCCCTGTATGCATAAATGTCTTCTTTGCTAGATTGCTAGTTTCGTAAGTTTGAAGATCACTGAATACTGTCCATTAAATTATCCGATACTTATTTTAATTATAATATGTACTAATTAGTGTAAGTAAAGTCAGTATTATTCTTCTGTTATTCGGCCTTTCTCTTTCTATATCTATACACGTACTACTTTCATTATTACGTCATTTCTAATTTTACAATAATTATCACTGAAAAACAAATATTATGTATATAAATTGTATGTCTCTATTGAAGTGAAATTAAGTAAAGATGTGTAGACGATTATAAATCAAAACGAGCAGCGAACACAATAGTCATCGCTTGTACAATAGCCTATTCGGCTAAAAGCCGCTTCCGTGCTCCCATGCGCGCCAAACGTAAACCAAACACTCGTTTCTCGCCGCGCCTCGAGCTGGCTGTATACTTCATTGCCAGTGTTTTGAACAAAAAAAAAAGTTTACAACGCGCGGAAAATTTTGACGTCTAAAAATTTAAAATAAGTTGTTTACTTTTGATATTCGTTATATATTTTTTTATTTTAATGCGTTTTGGATTTAAGTTTTATTTATAAGGTAGGTTTACGACTTTTTTTTGTTTTTGTGTTTTTTTTATTTTACTTGTGATTTTGACTATATTTTTATGAGAAATACATATTAATATTTTTATGTATTAAAGTTAAAAACAAATTTTGAATTAAAGACATAATAAAAATAAGTGCAATTCAGAGTCTATATTAATCGTTTTAAAAAGGAAATTAAAAATCAACGCACGACTCAAACTGTTCGCATACAGATAACTAATTAATTTGTTTCGTTCGTTCCTTTTTCAAATTAAATCAACCAAAATTGCAGCGTTAAAAATCAAAAGTTAAAACGAGTTTTAAATTGAGAGGAGTATCGCGCGGTAATACATTCTGAAAAGCTACATGGCGTTATTTGGAAACATGAATGTGTTTTAATGTGTCTTCAGATCTTCATTTTGCGAGTGAGCTCGCAGTGAAAGAGGTTAGGAAAATTTTAAACGAAGCACAAAGAATTTTGGTTCTTATGAAGATGATATTATCTTTTTACATAGAAAATTTATGTTAAATATTTAGAACACATTTGTAGTGTAGGTATTTTTATCACTACAATTACGTATACGTGTGTCTTCAATACTTGATTAGCTGTCGAAATTAATGTTTGACTTCAAGTGACCTAACAGCTTTACCTTCGAAGTGATGATGTATAAAATGGCCCCAATATAATTACGGTCTCACATTTTATGCCTGGGGTTATCGTGTACGCTTACTCGAGGTAAAAAGTAAGAATCACAACAATTGGTATTTGTAAGTGGACTAACTTAGTTAACATACATATGTTTGTTAGACATAAATGCACAATGTACGTAGAAAATAGAAAAGTAGGTTAATGAGTGAAGTAAATGGTGGTATCACTCAGGGTGAGCTTTCCCGACCTCTGGAGGGGCAATTACAGTTGTTATATAAAGATCGCTGTTTACACTCTGACTTAAGACATGAAATCTTTTCCTACATATTTTTTTCCTTTTCTTTATTTTGAAGATGACGGAATCCAAAAGTATTCATCCTTTAATTAAAGCGCTTCACTAGTAAGTAAATTACAATTAAATTTTACTTATTACTAATATTATGAATACGAACGTTTGGATGAATGCATGGATGTTTGGAAGAACGGCTGCATGGATCTCTTTGAAAGTAGGCATATATTTAGTACAAAGTCCGGAAGAAAACACAGACCACTAATTAACTTTTTTTTTGTAACCGCGCCAACGGAGTCGCTAGCGACAGCTATGTCCAAAATAAAAATGCTGATGCTATTGAAGGTAAGGTAAATATTAGGTCATTACGAGATGTCATCTTTTAAACAATGCTGTCATGTGACTTGTATAATAAAAACCATAATATATTCTATTAAGTCAATTAGAGGCGAAAAAGCGATGGTTATAATGTTACCATCCACGGTCGTCAGTAAATCACCACAATTACCGTCATCGAACAAATGACGAGTCATTTTTAACCTGCATTCAAACAAGAAGCGGAAGGTCGCTAGCCGCTCGCCTGTGACATTGCCGTTTCTCTAATCGAACGTTATTATGTAGACAAAAAATAATAGATATACTTAATTACGGGAAATCAAAAAAAAATCAATTAGTAGTCTATGTGTTCTTTCAGGCTATGTTCTACATCTATGCCAAATTTCAGTGATATCCATGCAGCCGTTCTGGAGATACCTTCTAACAAACATCCATTCATCTAAACATTTGTAATATAAAACAATGGTTCTTGGTTGGTTCCATGGTTCCCAGACCTAAGCCCCCCCCCAATTTCATCAAGGCCACTCAAAGAAATCACAAGTCTATGTCCGGAGACTTGTGACATCTGTCTCCTTACGAAGTCCCAACCTTGGAGATATTACTAGTAAATTTGGGGATCATTGGAGCTAAAACTAATCCAATAGACCTTCTAATAGCAAAATATTTGACAGTAATACCCAAACGAGGTTAAAGATAAGTCATGTTAAGTAAGTTTTTATCGTTAATGTGTAAGACGATAAGTGTTAATTCATGCAAAGCAAGGACAAGAGGTTTTATGGCATTACTAAAAAACAATGTCATTGTGTCGGTTTGTCACTAACCGTGAATTTTCAGTGCCGTAACTCTTGTACAAAAAATATTTTATTTGCCGTTTTAACATTTTACTGAACTTTGTTTATAGTATCTTATGGTACGAACTATAAGAGCTATAAGAGCACATATGTTGCAGTTAAGTGTCAAATTACATTGCACCTGGGTAGGAGTTTAATTTCCTCGACTGTACAGTCAAAAAATGAATAGTATTAGCATAATACATTTGTAGTATATAGCAGTAAACAGCTTCCCTCACGGTCACCTGTGCGCATGACCGGCGTCAGATAAAGCGCTTCCGGCGGACGTTTAACAATCGCAGTCCACTACGACCGAACATTGTGCGATACAAATCATTATGAATAATCGATTTTTGATTTAGATTGACCGCTACTCTTTTATAAGTAAATTGCACAGCGTTCAATGTAAATTGACTGGCTATAAGATGTTATATTTTGTGCCTATTTGATTTTCGCCATTTTTGCACTGATGGTAGCGGTGGTCTGGATTAGAACTAATAATGTAGTGAGATTTAACTGTGACGTAACATCAACTGACGCGTATAAATTGAAACGAAGCAAAAGCTTACATTTCCAAGCAACCTTGTAATAAATTTTCGACCGAGCATTGTTTTTTATCATCTAAATCTACGTAAAAAGCACGAAATTAGTAAAAGACCGAGCTCCATCTTAACTCAGTCATGTTCATCGGAGTAAGTGATTACAGTGTACATGATTCGCAATAGCGCACATTTGTATGGCAATTGGTCACAGTGATGGGGTCAGGAGCATCCGGTCTGGCGGGCGAGGTGCCGGGCTCCGACCTACGGCTGCCGGCATCCGGACTTCGCTTCTCTTTGCACCAACTACGCGCTCTCAACTCTTACCTAGATATCTTGTATGAGGAGGATCAAAAAGGTAACTATTATGTCTCTGTCTATTCCAAGGGAATGAAAGAGATGACTATATTTATTAGTCTAAATGTTTCGACTATAAAAACTTATGGCTACACATAATGCTGGCTGGAAACAATTTATCAAAAAATCAACGGATACAACATATTTAATGGCGTTGTATTTGATTTACCTTAGTAATAATAAATCTGTTCCTCATTTCTATAGAGACGAATAATTACTTTATTTAAATGAATAAACCGTCAGCATGTAGGAATATCGTGACAGAGAAGTACTTGTCAATGTAAGCAAAGAGGGGCAAGGGAATGAATACAATGAGCTATTATGGTGATTGTGATGCACAAATAGCTAGTACGTCATATTACAATGCTAATTTACGTTCCATTCTGCACGATTTTGTACATCTATACATTTTAATAAACACTATGGATAAAAAAAAACAAAATAAGTGCCAAAATTATCAGTTGTTAAAAATGGGATGTAGGAGGAAACCTACAGTTATATTTTAGGGGAAAGAGTAAGCAATTTTTATGGTAATAACATACTTTTGACTATATTATGTTCATACGAATCGTAGGTCGTATAACAACGGAGACGGAGTGCATAGTGGAGGGAATTGTGCAGCGTATAGTAGATGGCGCCGGGCAGAGGGACCCGCGCTTCAGATGCTGCCATCTAATTGCATTGCATAGAAACAAAAAGGTATTCATGGTAGTAATTACCGAGGTATTTGTTCGATAGAGAAAGAGAGAGAGGGCGAGAGAGAGAGAGAAAGAGAAAGGGATATAACAAACAAAGAATGCTTCATTATGTCACTATTCCGTTATTCAAACTAGTATGCAATTAAAAAGTAAATGTAACTCTTTAAATGTAATATTTGTACAGATGCGATCTCGTTCTCTGGAGTACCTGGTGACGCTAGATGCTCTGCCAACCCTGAACGCGGAGAGCACACACTGCCGGCTGCAAGATGGGCCTGTCGGCTACGGCAAGGTCTGCCTGACAGGCAGGGAGGCAGACAAGTGGGCAGAGTTCCTGACACCAACGGGATATCTATGCCGGTAACATAGTTGGATAGTCAATTATGTCGCTTTTAAGATCTGAACGATCATCTTTAATAAAGAAGAAATAGGATCTCACAACACTGTAGATAATGACTTTTATTTGTTACCTCTATATTGTTTGTTTCTAGAGGAAATATAAAGTAATTGAGTCCTATGAATTAATATTGTGGCAGAGACAAGGTGGTGGAGCGCTGGGTGCAGCTGTTGGCGCGATGTGCGCGCGGCAAAGGAGGCGGCTCCTCCCGCGTCCTCAGCGCACGCGCGGCCGCGTACGCTCGCCCGCAACGATACTGCTATCTGGAAACCGGTAAATCTATAATAATTTTTACACTTTGCTACTTCTTTACAATTCTCCTAAGCAAATTACAAACGGCCTAAGTTCGTATGGTGATACAACCATTATTATATTTTTATGGTTGGTATATGTTTACAATGTTATGTAAAACTATGTAAAAATCTATAAATTTTTATTTCACATGAAGTTATTAAATACGTGCAACATAAACAACAATACAATATCAAAACTAAATTACAGTATTGTTCTGATGTAAGACGTAGGTTGTTGACAAAGTTTGATTACGTTTGTATTGTAATTTCAATCATCAATATAAAGTATATAAATATAAGGCTAGTGTTAGCTATTACATCTTATGGACAAAACAATAATTGAAATAAAAATAAAAATCATATGGTATCGTTAACTAGAACTTAATTTGAATCTTATTCAAGAAAATCTGAGGATTGCTTCTATTAACTATTTCCAACGCATTTATACGAAAAATAAAGACTTCAATATTACAAAGTTTCGTATTTGAATTGTTCAGTATCACAGCAGAAGAGCTGCGAGCGGCGGCTGGCCATAGTGGAGGGCGCGGTGTGGGTGCTGGTGCGTGTGGGCGCGGCGCAGGCCGAGGCCAAGCTGGTGCTGTGCGCCCGCGCCGCCGGCTGCAGCACCGCCGCCGCCCGCGTGCCTCTCACACACCCCATGGCTCTGCTGCACTACACCGCCGCACAGGAGGTCAACTAACCACAGTCTAATAATATTCCATCATCATATAAGAAGAATCAGCGAATGGTTTAATGAACTCCTACTACGTTAAGCAGTTTGTTCAAAGTGTTGAGTTAATTTATCGATTAAATTGGCAACTTATCCTTTGTTATGTTGTGGTCCGTTTTAACCAATATAACTTA